GGAGTGGTTGTTGCTGTGGTGGCTGGAGTGGTTGTTGTGGAGGATGGTGTAGTAGTTGTGGTGGCTGGAGTGGTTGTTGTGGAGGATGGTGTAGAAGCTTGTGGTGGCTGGAGTGGTTGCCGTGGAGGATGGTGTAGTAGTTGTGGTGGCTGAGTGGTTGTTGTGGGAGGATGGTGTAGTAGTTGTGGTGGCTGGAGTGGTTGTTGTGGTGGGCTGGAGTGGTTGTTGTGAGAATGGTGGTAGAAGTTGTGGTGGCTGGAGTGGTTGTCGAGGATGGTGTAGTAATTGTGGTGGCTGGAGTGGTTGTTGTGTGGCTGGAGTGGTTGTTGTGGAGGATGGTGTAGTAGTTGTGGTGGCTGGAGTGGTTGTTGTGGAGGATGGTGTAGTAGTTGTGGTGGCTGAGTGGTTGTCGGAGATGGGTAGTAGTTGTGGTGGCTGGAGGGGTTAGTGGAGGATGGTGTAGTAGTTGTGGTGGCTGGAGTGGTTGTGGTGGCCGGAGTGGTTGTCGTGGAGGATGGTGTAGTAGTTGTGGTGGCTGGAGTGGTTGTTGTGAGGATGGTGTAGTAGTTGTGGTGGCTGGAGTGGTTGTTGTGGAGGATGGTGTAGTAGTTGTGGTGGCTGAGTGGTTGTTGTGGAGGATGGTGTAGTAGTTGTGGTGGCTGAGTGGTTGTTGTGGAGGATGGTGTAGTAGTTGTGGTGGCTGAGGTTGTTGTGGGCGATGGTAGTAGTTGTGGTGGTTGGTGTTGTAGTCGTGGTAGTTGGTTCAGTGGTGACTGTAGTCGTTGCCGTTGTGGTTAGTATTGTGGTGGCTGGAGTGGTTGCTGGTGTTTTTGTTTGTGTGGTAGAGTTGGTGGTGAAGGTGGTGGTTGTTCCGTTGGTTGTCGTGTGCCCCTGTTGTACAGTAGAGGGGGAGAAAGAGATCCCAGAGGATAAGTGTTAAATCATAATGTTACTATATTTATTTATTATATTCTTTGACAACTTACTTATACACTCCCAAATTACGAGATTATAATTATTAATTTTATTAACTTATAACTCCTGTTGGTTTTCTGGTGCGGATAAAATTCTTGAAAAAAAATGGTATTATTATTATTATTATTATTATTATTATTATTATTATTATTATTATTATTATTATTATTATTATTATTATTATTATTATTATTATTATTATTAGTATTATTATTATTATTATTACAGACATGATCGTATACTCACAGCCTTTAGTCACTGATATAATGCAGCAGAATTTTTTTGAGCGTGTCCACCAGATTTTATTAGCGAATGTGAGTTTCAGGACGTTGGAGTGAGTGATGATGGAGTCAGGGTGATCCTTCCACGTAAACCTGAAGTGAGAATATGTAGGTAATGCACAGATAATATACACATCACACAAAAAGAACACAATGTTGTCATATAGCCCCATGTTAACGGTCCCTTAGTCCTGATAACCCCATACTAACAACCCCTAGTCCTGATAGCCTCATACTAACAGCCCCCTAGTCCTAATAGCCCTATACTAACAGCCTCTAGTCCTGATAGCCCCATACTAACAGCCTCTAGTTCCTGATAGCCCCATACCAACAGCCCCTAGTTCTGCTAGCCCCATACTAACAGCCCTTAATCCTGATAGCCCCCATACTAACGACGCCTATAATAGTCCTAATAGCCAAAAGATTATAGGTAAATTTAGAGTACAGGCCATTATTCGATATTTTTGTTATTGTTGCTAATTATAAGTTTAGACAGAGCAAGACGATTTTCATCTATGACTCTTTTGGCGCTTTTTAATGGTGACCAAGATATCTGAAGTTGAAAATCAGAAGAACACCTAACGGAGGAAAGGTTAGGTAGGTTTGGTTGGTGCTATCAACCACATATTACGAATTTGTTATCCTAACCAAACAAACCTCCCTGACCTTACCTAACTTCCTAACAGCGGGGCACCTCCCCCGGGTATATTAAATATCTCTGCCAGTGCCGGATTTAGACCTGTGGAGGCACATGGGCAGCCTCTTTGTGGAGGCCCCCCTCATTATAGCTACCCAAGAGGGTGGGTGGCGAGTGAAGCGAGCCTAAACAGATACTACACGACCCAATCCCCTCCGACAAACTGTCAACAAACACAGCCCCCTGATGGCATTCGTAATGGAAGTGATAATGAAAAAAATATTTTATTTGTTTTTATCTCAATTTCTTTATTCCATGTAGTTCATTTTTAATCAATATATGTTTGTGAAATTCTAAATATATTATTAGCAACACAAACAATAGCATTCATTAAAAATATACTGTCCATAGGAAAACCAGGTATTCATGAATTTCAAGGAGTAGCTAACCTAAGTTCTATCACGCTTCTTGCTGAACATAGTTTTACGTGATGGAATAGATAAACATGAATTTTAAAGAATGAAAATAAAAATACTCCAAATGAATAAACAAATAAATAAAATATTGTAATATGTGGAGGCCTCAGATTGTGGAGGCTCCTGAGCAGTTGCCCACTTTGCCCACTCCTGAATCCGGCCCTGATCTCTGCTCTATGTCATTGGCGAGGGAAACGCCATAAAACAAAAGTAAGAAAAGTGCCTTAAGGCCGCGGCACATATGCACTTTCCTCCAAACATGTTTCCTCTTTTGCTGGCTGCTGGCCTGACGGTCCAGCAAGCTGCAGGATTTCGGCTGTTGCGAAAAATGGGCAACGGTTTGATGGGGACTGTCTACTCTAACCTAGTGTTTGCAATGAAAAATCACGAGATTAGGTTAGTGGCAACAAATGCAACAACGGAATTGTTCTAGTAGGTTTCTGATTTTCAATTCACGATATCTTGGTTATGGATAAAATGCGAGAAAAGTGTCATCTAAGAAAATCGTCTTGTTTTTCTCGGGACATATTATTAAATGAAATAAAACTCACCATTTCTCGCCACCGCTTAAATTTTTTCTATTAGTTTTCTTATTTTCAACTCCCGATATTTCGGTTATGGGTAAAATGCATCAAAAGTGTCTAAAATAAAAATCATCTTGATTGTGTCTGAACTTGTCATTAGCGACCTAAAAAAAAAAAAAAAAAAACTATCGGCAATACCGCCATAGTGGGCTGCATACCAGACTAGGACCCCCTGTACCTTGGTAATACAGTCCTCAAACTCGAACAAAATACTAAATTCCTCGGAGTTATTGTTGATGAGAAATTTAACTGGAGAAACCACATACAAGCCATCCACAATAAAGTATATAAACAGTGTGGTATCATGTATCACACTCGTCAGTCACTCACTCTCACAGCAATGAAAGAAATCTATCATGATCTTGTTTACCAACACCTGATACTCTGTCACAAACTATGGGGGTCCTCTGGTTCTTCAAAAACACAATTCCTGGTTACTGCACAAAAGAGAGTTGTACGGACAATGACCTACTTGAAAAAACAGGTCACACAAACGAAAGAGTTGCTAAATTGAAAATGTTAAAATTCGAAGATATTAACACTTACTGCTGTGCCCTCTTTGCTTACAAATCTACCAATCACTTGCTTGACAATAATTATTTCCAGTTCCGGAATAATCAGAGATACAACTTACGGCACCCAGAGCTTCTAAGACCACCCTCCATGCGCTCCTCTCAGTCCCAGAACTCCATAAAATATCATGGTGTGAAGGCGTGGAACAACTTCCCCCACCCATCTGAGTTAAGACTAGGCTCCCTTCCTTTAAATCATCTCTTAAAAAATATCTATTGTCTGAGTATTAATATTTCTTGTAATACCTACTAATATTTACAGTACCTGCTTTTATTGTACCATCAAAAACGTTTTATCGGAAATTATCAAATAGATAAGAAATTACCATTGCAATAAATATATTTGCTAACTATGCATAATCCTGACAGCTCTGTCCTCTTGATCAACCTTAATACTGTACAATCCATGTTGTACTGCTTCCCCATTATACTTATGTTTTTCAATTCCACTGTAATTTATGTATATACTTATATAAAAAAATATTAAATAAATAAAATAAATAAATATTGAAGTGATAACCGTGGTAACATTATGAGATGTTCTTATTACCACCATGCTATTGTACTATTCCAGATGCTACTAAATGTTACATAATACTTCCTTGGAAAAAATGTATAGTATATATCAGGTGACTACAGGAGAGCTCAGGTTCTCAACTGGCTCAGCCATGTTAATATTGTTATTATTACCCACTCTGTATCTGTGTTTTTCTGGTTAAAGAAGCTGTTTCAATTCAATACCTGCGTGCGGCGAGAATGCCCCATAGAATAGATATAGATGTTTACTCTTAATACCCCTGAAAAATCGTTTTCTCTTCTAATTTAGTGAAGAGAAAATGATTTACTTTATCAGGCAAACCCAGCCAGTTGTCCACGCTGGCTTGATTCCTAGTATGCAGGGTGTTCCGTAAATACCTTTCATAATTCAGTTATAGATTCCTGGTCACTGTCTTGAAGACAGTGACCAGGTACACACATACAATTACCTGGGTATACCCGCGCGTATCACCACCAGAGCCACTACCTCCATTCTCGTCGCCCAGGTCCTCTCACAATGTCGTCAACAAACGAGACCTCAGTGCTATCCTTGGTGTCAAACTTCTCCATAGTGAGCTGCTGGCTCCCCTGTCGCGTTCATTGCACTTACATATTGACACTCTGCACCGGCCTGGCCCCACCATCCGTCCCTCCCCTTCACGACAATAACCTACCCATACCACTGCTGACATCCTGTGTTATCATCTGAGTTTCTACCCTGCCTCAACCCCCCCCCCCACAAGCGCACTCATCCGCCTCTCCCACCATGGACTTCCCGTACCGTCGTCCACACCTTCTCGGGTCGAAAATCCTCCTAACTAAGCTAAAAACTTCAGTTTAGCTGCATCTTGCAGATTGATGATGCCGCCTCCTTTCTCACTACCACCTACCGTCCTCGCCTTGTCTATTTTGTTGAGTCTGTTGACACGCTTGGGGGTCTACCAGCTGTGTGGATCCCTGAGCACCAGGCCCACAGTAAGATCAAGGTCCATGATTGGGCCTTCTCCACTGGCAGTGAGAGTATAACCATCCTCGCGAGCGCCCATGAGGGCGTTACTTACGCCTGCACTGAACGCAGGAGCTTCATCATCAGCGAGCCTCAAATCTCCCTTTCTCCCGTCCCCTGCCGCCCAACACACCCTAGCCACCATCGTTGGGCTAGAGAAAACTGATAACATCTGGGTCAAGTTCCTCTGGATCCCATCACATATAGGAATAGCTGCCTGTGACAGTGATGATCGTCATACTACAGAAGCAACATAGAAAGAGGATATAGAGGCCACCCTCGCCATCTCCATCAACCATCTTAAATCTGGAAAAACTCGCACTATGTGAAATCTTCGACGAACACCGGAGAATCTGAAATATCGGGGAAGCGACACACTACGCTACTATGACACATTAAACGGAGATGACAACCGCCACTACAAAGAGTATTAACTCCTAACTCGGCCTCAATAGATTGCGTACACGAGCCTGCACCTGAGCGACAGGTATCCCTGGAAGTACTGTACATAGACAACCCTGAACTTGGACACAATTAATGAAAACTCTGTTGGCAATCCGAATCTCATACTTTCTTTCACTACATCATCACTTGCCGTGAGACCAGTTGCAAAAATTAATTAACAGATCAGTGGGAAAAGGTGAAAAATATGGATTAAGAGTTTATGCTGTGAAGACGAAAGTAATGGTTGTTTCCAAATTGGAAATAAATACTAAAATAAAAATTATGATAGGCAACTAGGGACTTGCGTATTTGGGAAGTAAAATTAGCTGTGATGGTAGATGTAAGGAAGAAATCATAACAAGAAAAGGACTGATGTATAGGTCAGAAGCGTGGACACTTTCAGCAGACACCAGAAAGAGGTCGAAGGCCTTTGAAATGTGGTGCTTTAGGCGAATGTTAAGAATAAGTTACACGGACAGAAAAACAAGTGGAGAAGTACCAAGGTTAGCAAAAACTTCAGGAGAGATACTTGAAATGTCCAGAAAGAAAAAATGAGATACTTTGGTCGTATAATTAGGGTGAAGGGATAATAAGAAAACTATTAATGGGCAAAGTTGAGGGTAAGAGGGCCAAGGGAAGGCAGAGACTGGGATGGCTGAATGAAATTTAAATCTAGGTACCCAGAGATACAAAACCTTGGAGGAATGGTAAAAACAGCCCGAAAACGTTTAGATTAGAGACAGCGGTCGCCAACCCCCTAACATGAGAACGGTACTCTGATTGATGATCGAAATCACCACTGCGAGTATCAGGGGCTGCTAACACGATCGTCTGCCTCAGTAGCACACTTGATCGTAGCAGAACACTACTGGTATATGCTAAGTGAACACTGTTACTTTAGTGATTTCCTCGACGTGAGACTTGTCTTTATGGTTCATATAAACAATGATCATACTGTATATATATATAGATATATCGCTCACCACGCTGCCTCAGACTCATATTTATGAATCAAATGAAGTTTTATATTCTTATATGACGACTTATTCTTATTTCAATTTATTGTTTCTTGTTGATAATTCAAAGATATTTAAGTTACTTATTGCTATCATAATATATGAAAATAAGTATACATCACTGTTTCTATGTTGAATCATGGTCATATTACGTATTTATAAAAAAAAAAAAAAATCATATACGGCTGGAAAAATAATACTTTAGAATCATGAACTTGCCAAGATGATTTTTCTCCCTCGGTGATACTGAAGACGGGCGGACCTTGTCCCTTCCTGTACTTCCCGTATATGCGGGGACAAGTGATGTTTAGATGCCAAGGACTCCACGCTGGAGGCTTCACCTGTCCACGCAGTTATACAGTATGTAGCAATTCACAACACATCATTGATTTATAACTCTGATATATTTCATGCATTGTGGAAAAATTATTCACATATCGTTAATTGAGAATATATGGACTTACACAATAAAACAAATGATACTAACTTTCAGTGTCCACTTCTCTGGGAAGGCGCCCTTACCACGACGCACGGATATACACACAGACTCCCAGGGTGAGAGCTCCACGTTCTTCCGCGGATTCTTTTTACACTTCTTGCAACTCCCTGTAACGTACATATGCACACAAATGGAGTTAATAGATTTACAGAATGTATAATTTTGTGTAAGTTATATTGGTCATTGTATAAGAGTGCTCCCACTGAACGCAGGAATTCCACAAGGCTCAGCCCTCTCCCCAACACTATACATACTTTACACTAATGACCTGCCTGACCACATACATACCGACTCACTGACCATACAGTACGTCGACGACGTAACAAAACTAGTCAGACACGGAACAGCACTAGACTACTCTCACAGAAAAAAAAACACGTACGGAATTCGAATAGGTCACAGTGGGGACTCAAATGGCGTATACAAACAAACTCCAACAAATCACAAATCACCTACTTTGACACAAAAAGACATCAACCTCGCCACATATACTTAAACTCATACACTAACAACTCAACACCCATACGTACAAGACAGACAAACAGAGTACAAGGAGTGTGACATTCAACCACACCCTCACCATGAAACACCACATCATCACGAAGGCAGCAATAGCACAGAAGACACTCACAGGCATACAACGATTCAGAAGTGAAACAACAAAAACAAACACACTTATACAAAGCACTAATAAGCTCCCTGTTTACTTACTTACGTACTCAACACACTCCATTTAACAGCGCCAGCCAACGTCAAGAAACTACAAGTCATAAAGAATGAATCACTGAGGTTCATACACAATAAACACTGGGTATCATTCAACTACATGAACATAGCAACATTTCACCTCTCAACAGCTAGCTGCTGGAGACTATTAGGTGACAAACAGATAGAAAACCTCTTAACCACACACCCATAATGGCAGGAATACTTTGACGACATCATACTTCATCGTAGATACAGAAACAGGATCCCTTCATACTAAACAGACCCAATACACCATACCCATCCGCTCTATACTAAAACACGCAATCAACACCAACAGCACTAACACTCCTATATCTGCACCTGGCGGCCCGAGAGCAATCCAGGTACACATCAAGCCGCTCTGAATTCAGATATTCTCCTCTCACCACCCCACTCAACCTGTGATGGTGCAACAGCAATATCGGAACCAATTAGGCTTATCCGAGGTTCGATTATTTCTAAGCAAATCAAAGAACTAGTCCCCACTTTCTTCTCAAAAAACTCTACGACGGTGCCCTCATTCTTCCATGCAACGAATACCCTAACATTTTAAGATCAGAGATTCAAAACTCTTCCTCCAACTAGCTCCGTTCCATCATTGGCATAAGCTCAAAGACTGTAGCTTCAACTATCACCAAACAACTCTACTATTAACCTACTTCTTCCTTTACCGCTGGGCGGGGCCTACCGGGGTTCTGGGTTCGAGCTGCTGCTGTGTGGGTCTTGTCGCGTCGGTCGTGCTGCTGGTGGTCTGTTACTACAATCCTATAACAATCAGCACGCTGTGTTAAGCCACGGCACCTATTTCTACTCCTACTACTCCCTTCCATCCACCTGCTATCCTTCCACTGAACCTTTTTCACCCCTGTCACTTGAGATTTATGTATGTATGTAATCCAAGCGGCTCAATCTCTCTAGCATTCCTCCAGTTACACTCTGCTTTCCTCCTCCCTCCTTCAACAGCTTGTGGATGGACTGCTCACAACTTCTTCAGCACTCCGTCTTTGCCCAGTATCTGCTACATTATGGCTAAGTGAACTGTATGTACTCTTAAAATCGTCTACGTGAGCTTTTTAGCCTCAGTGATACTTGCCAGTGAACCGTTATAATTAAGCCTCGTTTATTAGGGATATCAGGTCGGAGACTCTTACGTTCTGTACTTTATGAGCGCCATTGTACAGGACTACCACAGTGCTCTTATTTATTTGTTTTTCACCTTTACTTAAAATTCTCGTGCTTTTGGCTATACCTGGAATAGAACTGTCATTTTCCTTGACCCAGCTTATCCAGTCGATTAATTGTACGAAAATAATTATTGATGTATGTTTAACTACCATCTCACTGGGAACACACTACTTTGTTCACGAAAGGAACTTCTAGTTAACATCTTACTTGCAAATTTCACTACGTTTTCCATGGAAGTTCAGAGGAAACCCTTCACTACAGGGACGCCACTTTTAATAATCTGTTTGGGTAATGATTGTTTACAAGGGGTCAAGAACCGCTGGAGTGTGGAATATTATATATACGCTGTGCAGAAGATACTGTTCTTAATACGGGTAGTGAAGATAGGTGTTTCACAAACTGGTTAACAGGTTAGTGGAAAAAAGTGAAGAATATGGCTTAAGTGTTAATGCTGTAAAGACGAAGGTAATGGTTGTTTCCAAATTGGAAATAAATGATAAAATAAAAATTATGATAGGCAACTTGGATCTTGTGTATTTGGGTAATAACATTAGTTGTGATAGTAGATGTACGGAAGAAATCAAAACAAGAATATATAAAGCCAAAACATTAAATAGTCTAAAAGATCTTAGTAAAAGTGACATTAACTTATATTTGAGAAAAAGACTTCTGAAATGCTATACTGTATATGGTTAGGACTGTTGTATGAGTCACAAGCGTGGGCACTCGGCAGGCGCCCGAAAGAGTTAAGAGGCCTTTGAAATGTGGTGTTATAGGCGAATGTTACAAATAAGTTATACTGAGAGGAAAACAAATGATCTATGAAACTGTGGCAGATTAACATTACTGGATAAACATGTATAATTAAACTTAAAAATCTTTGGTTATATGTACAGTACACCTTCGAATCATCCAGTTAAGAATTAACACAATAAGATCACTGTGTGGTGGTAGTCATTGATAGTGGTGCTTAATCACACTCAGACAACCAGTACTTACGACCACGCATCGCGTGCTTCCCCTTGTTCTTAGAGGGCTTCCCCTTGTTCTTAGAGGGCTTCCCCTTGTTCTTAGAGGGCTTCCCCTTGTTCTTAGAGGGCTTCCCCTTGTTCTTAGAGGGCTTCCCCTTGTTTTTAGAGGGCTTCCCTCTGTTCTGCATGGCGAGGTCCCCCAAGTACAAGGAGTGGCTCATTATATCACTCTTGTCATTCATTTCGGGATCCTTCACAATGCTTCTGTTTCCTCTCAGCTCCATGTGACTCTGGTTGCTATCTGTGACCTGCAAGACACAAATTTTGAATATTATCGAATCAGTTCAGTTAGGCTTCACCTACACCAGTACAGTACCAATATGAGTATTTTGAACGTAATTTACCTTTGATAACTTATTTGATCTGGGGTAAAATTATTTGAAGTTGGCATAACTTGTATTCACGAAGTTCAAGATTATTATTATTATTATATATACATATATATATATATATATATATATATATATATATATATATATATATATATATATATATATATATATATATATACAGTATATATACTATATCGAACAATAGACGAGTTGTCGGTCGAAATTTTTTCGTAAGATGGCAGGTCAATGGGTAAGGAAAACGCTTACATTCGCTGTGGTAAATAAAATTAAATGATATTTTTAAATAAAATAGGCCAAAAAGTGTAAATAATAAGGGTTAAAGTAGATAAAAAATCACGTGACTGCGAAAAGCTCTGTGATAGGTTGTGACGTCACAGGTTGGCTCTAGCCTTGAGGCAGCCCAGCTGTGGTGTATGTGTTGTTACCAGCAGTAATACAGGACTTGTGGCCATATACAATTATACAGGCATACCTTATTTTTAGGTTAAAATACGTTGCTGCTCAAGTATCATCGTGTGTATTTACTTGCTGGAAGTTTTCATCACTGTTCTCTATTTCATGTCTGGAAAATGTAAGTTTTCGTCACTAATGTCTACATTTAATGTTGTGGAAGGACTATAGGGACGGCCTGGCCAGGGAATGGGCTTGAGATGATCACATGACAGATGTAATTTAACGTGCTTCATAGCTGGATGGCCGAGTTCTTGATAATACTCTACAATCATAAAGATATCTACTTTTGATAATTTTCTTTCATCTGCCATGATGAACCCTGGAAATAGTTGTCCAAACTTCTCGACTGATCGGCTCTGTAAATAAATATTATTAGATAATTAATTGTGCTTTACTGTGCAACACAGTAATGCTATATTGAATATATAAATATTACTAAGCACATTAACTAATTCAATGGAGAGTAGCTACCCCTACTACAAATTTCCTAGTATAAATATTCCAAACAATATTGGTATTATTTTGGTTTCGGTCATCTGGGGAACCTCAAGATTCTAACTATGGGATTAAGTACTTTAAACAATAAGACAAATTATCTCTACGGGATTTCTGTCGAAAGAATTTTTCTATCGCATAAGAAAATACAGGTCATAGGTTAGGTTAGGGTATGATGAGTTATATTATAAGTTATAAGGTTAGCTTAACATACACCAGTAAGGAGGGGGGGGGGTAGTAACTCAAAACTAGTGATTTCCAATAGAAATGAAGGTCTAAATCGTTCATAACACATCGCAAACCACCAGAAAAAAGTCTCCATATCTAAGTACAGGGATGACCAAAACTTACCCAATATAGCCTATCGAATTTAAACATCCAAATACTTATGGTAGTTAAAATAAATTTTTCCCCATTAATTAATATAAATGATGATATATCCCAATGCATTCTCAAAACAAAGTCCAGACTATGCCATTGCTTCTAAATTTACTCGTATTTCCATCTAGTACTGATATACCCTGTAAATGCACTGGAAAAAAAAGAAAGTCTACCAGGCAAGAGTACATGACAGCTGAGCTGGTGTGAACATGGGAGTTTTTTATGTCCATAAGCTGCTCTTCACGGCACAAATCTTCACTTACGAAATGTCCATGACTTAGACCATAAAAAAACCCACACACTTAAAACTTACGAACGTGGCATTTGGGGTCTGAAGAGGTCACCCTTTGTACCACCTCCGACTGCAACTGTGAGTTTGTTGGAGAACGTCGTCTGCGGGGAAACTGGTGACGTCATTGCAAATGGCGGCCCTGATCCTCGAGAAATAAACTTATCTCGACTATTGCAGTAGGACTTTAAACTTTTATTGCAAATTATATGTACCCTATCACTCTACGAATGTGGCAGAGTGTATTTCTTGTGTTTACTCAGAACATACAGCTCGTCCATTCCATACCTTCTTGAGTCTCCCCTTAAATGAGAAGTGTTGGGCGTTAGTAGGCGCAGGTCGGGTAGTGTTGCGTCTTTGTAACAAAGTGTGTTTGACATTCGGGCCTTTGTTGTTGAGCGGCAGAAATTGGACAGTGATTACATAAGATCATCAAGATCGTCTTAGTGATGTGAAAGTGTACATCGATGTAGGATTTTTAATGCAAGACGCGATTGTAATTTTGAAAACTCAAAACTCAATCTCCACAGTATTGGAGATACAGCCCAGGTTAAAAGGCCTACAACCACAACATCATTGCCATATGATAAAAGCTTTTATTTTATTTTTTACGGAGTTGTTGTCACGGTTGTGATAAAGGCCAACCAGGGAGTGCCTTTAGTTAAATCAGTTCATAGTGTCATCAGTGACCGTGGAAGAGGTTGTAAATAACTTAAAATGAATACAAACTGGCAAGCAAGCTGAAAGGCACCACTGCCAGCTGAGGCCAAGTAGTGTTATAGGGGCCACAGAGACTTTAAATTTTATTTTGTTTGTGTGCTTTTTCATGGACTGAAACTGTGCCTACAATACATCATTCACAGGGAGATACAGTGTACACAGTGATAGCACAAAGAGATTTAGTCGTCGATGAGAGCAGGACAATAAAGTATAAGGAAATACTAGTTAATAAAAAATAAATAAAATCAACAAGCTTGGCTATCCATAAAGGCATTCTATTACCGCCCCAAAGAAAGTTTTATTTAATTTTTCTGTGTGTCTAAAGGACTGAGCGGGTGTATAAAATCTGTTATCCATAGCAAAATGCAGTGTACATAGAGGTAGCACATAAATACTGACAAACGCCGAAGTGAACTGAAAAAAAAATAAAAAGAAGAGAAGAAAACAGAAGACAACCCTAAAGGCAATAGGAGGTTAACACCAGCAGAGGGCAGCTAAGGACTGAGTTTTTCTTTATTTTTTAAATAGGTGTAGATCTATACATACACCCCCAACAACAACCATGAGGGATATGATGTGTGACTACTGCAGGGGATGACGGATATGGATGATACAGGCCTGACCAATGCAACGTTTAGGAAGATGCTAACTGCCGTAAAGCATGAAGGCTGCTGCTGGTATTGCCCTGACTGCATAGTCAAGGTGAAAGAGGCGATTAGAACCATAAGGGAACGAGTTCCCTAAGGACGAAAATAGATGAAGCTGTAGCCTTGCTGGTTGCCAAACTAGAGCAAGTTGGGAAGTAGCCGATAGAATGGAGGTGGTTGCTAAGAGGATTATTAGATTACTAGATTAGATTGCCCCAGAGGGAGCTAGTTTATTGGGCACCCCCTTACTTCCTGTGCAAGGTGAAGCGCAGAAGCGTTTACAGTGCCCATTTGGGAAGCATGCGGAGTTCATGCTTGCCTTTATGACTCGTGCATTAAGGGCGTAAAAGCCTGAAGGGTCATGGGTTTTGTCAGCAAGTTACATAAAGTGACAGAATGAAGAGTGTGTGGGGGGAAATTTCCCGGTACAATTTATCTGTTTATGGCAAAGCGTGGCAGGTCCCTAATAATGTCAAGTGCCAGGCCATAGCCATTGACAGTATTGAGGAACATGCCTTTCAGTGCGATTGTGATGGCGTGTACGTCGGTAGTGTCGGCTTCAAGGGGGACGACGAGAGGTTGGTAGGGGACGTCCTTCTTGGCGTAGATACGTGGTCCACTAGCATGTCCGCATGGTGGTCAATTGATGTGGAGAACTGGAGTGGATGGGCCCCAGGTGCCGGCATGCCTGTGGGGGACGGGGAGCCAGGGGTGGTGTCCCCGTCCATGAGCGCGCGGTGGGTGGACGGGGACAGCCGGGCACGGGGCAGGCTCTGGTGTGGACGCCAGCAGTGGTGCCAGGCGGCTGTGGAGTTATGCTGACGTATTAGCAGGGCCACGGGAGGTGGCGGAGAGTAATGCAGGATAAGAACAGGTTCTACAGCAGCTAGGGACTCTAAAGAAGTGTGTCGAAGAAAGTAAAATTAACGGAGCTACTGTTAGGGGAGAGGAGGAACAACGGGAACGTCTCCAGCGCAGGAACAATGTAATAGTTTTTGGAGTCCCAGAGAGCCAGGCGGAGGGAACCGAGAGTAAGATAACACACAATAAGATGCAGTTTAAAAATATTTGTACAGACGTTCTGAAGATGCCATCAACCCCTCAGGATGTGAGGAGGCTGGGACAAAAGCAGGGGACAAGCCTCGCCCCCTCAGGATCACACTAGTGAGTGAGGAGGAGAAATGGGAGGTTATTCGGCAGGCAAAAAACTTAGCAAGGAGCGAGGCATTTCGGAGTGTATTCATTCACACAGATGGCATGGTAATGCAGAGGGAACAGCACAGGAAGCTCCTGCAGGGCTTGAAGCAGAAGAGAGAGGAGTCGAGGAGGAACGGGGACGGGTGTACATGGGTTGTATTCAGGGAGAGAGTGGTGGAAGCAAGTGTGCCGACACAGGGCCGGGGGACAGCAGCGCACCCTCCACCCGCTCTACCCCCCGCCCGGGAGGTGGCACCAGCTCCACCTATCAGCCAGGAGGAGGCGAGCGCCTTGTAAACAATGACATTTCTAACCACACCCTGCAAAATACAGTATACTTAGCAAATGCTGCAGCTTCTGAGAATGGGGGGGGGGGAGGGGTTACTACTAAGAGCAGAGAAGTTACCAAGAACAAATTCTGGCTTGAATGTCATGTACACTAATAATGACACTTTCCTTGATAAGAGAGAAGAGTTTGAAACAATACTGAAGGTACATCAACCAGATATTGTATGGAGTTGTAGAGCTGTTGTAAAAGAACTGGAGAATCGACGCAGAGGAATGTGAGTTTATTATTGCTGGATATGACTCATTTACGAACCTATCTCAAGAAACTTCCAAGAGGGGTGTGGTTATCTATGCTAGGCAAAACCTTAGAGCCAGCCAGGCGAGGGTACAGGGAGAGGATGTTTTTGAAGAGTCCAAGTGGTGTAAAATTAAATTAAAGGGAGGAGACTTACTTATCGTCGGGAGTATCTACAGATCCCCAAACTGTGACCCACTAAATCAAAGGAACTTAAGAGCCTTAATTGACAAAACGGGGATGCTCAACCCAAGCCACCTCCTTATCATGGGGAACTTTAACTATGGCGACATCGACTGGAGAAACAAGTTCACCCCAATTGACTTGAATAACCCTGCTACTCTTTTTGTAGAAACTCTGAGAGATAATTTTCTGTTCCAACATGTTAGAGACCCGACACATTACAGAGGGGAGCAAACACCCAAGCCACTAGACCTCATCATAACAAACGAGGAGGGTATGGTGGCCAAACTGGAACACCTTGCGCCCCAGTTGGCACCAGTCACCATATAGTGTTGTCATTCAGATTTAACTGTTACCTAATTCAATATAAGGCCAGGCCAAGGTGCAAATATTACAAGGAACATTACAACGGGATGAGGGAAGAGATGAGGGGTATCAACTGGCCTGACTCATTAAGGTACAAGAACGCAGACACTACGCTGAATATCATAACTAGTAAAGTGACCCATTTGATCGATAAATATATACCCAAGACCAAACCCAGTGCCTGAACCATGCGGCGGTCGACAAAGTTAAGAAGAAAACCCAGAAATTCAAGCCGTGGGTTCGGTCAAACGATGAGCAGGACAGGAGGATGTATGCAAGAGCCAGAAACCAAGCAAAGATGGAGTGTAGAAAGGCTGAAAAGGAGTTCCAGAGGCTGGTTGCAAGCGAGGTCAAGTCAAACCCAAAGGCGTTTTACCGCTATGCAAAGTCTAAATTAAAAACGCGAGCAGGAGTATCAGACCTGAAGCTTGAAGATGGTAGTTACGCAGATTCTGACCAGGATAAAGCTGAGGCATTGAACAGTTTCCTTTCCTCGGTGTTCACAAGAGAAGATGCGATTAACCTTCCTGCGTTTGAGGACAGACGGTTCGACACAGCACTGACCCACATTGTGTTCACAGAAGAGGGTATTAGAAATAAACTGTCAAAGCTAATGATCCATAAGAGTCCCGGCCCTGACATGGTGCATCCTAGAGTGCTAAAAGAACTGTGCATCGAGCTTGCCGAGCCCCTGAAGATCCTGTTTTGTAAATGCCTGGATGAACAAAAGGTCCCCAGTGAGTAGAAAGTGGCTTATGTGAGTCCTATCTTCAAGAAGGGCGATCGTCACTCCACGAACAACTATAGACCGGTGAGCCTGACCAGCATAATATGTAAAATACTTGAGAGTAATATCAGAGGTGCCGCGATGGAAAATCTACTACGAAACAACCTTGTAAAGGATTGCCAGCACGGTTTCATCCCGGGGCGCTCCTGTTTAACACAATTGCTCAAGGTATTGGATATTTGGACCCACATTCTGGAACGGGGTGGTAATATCGACAATATTTACCTAGATTTTGCCAAGGCTTTCGACAGTGTACCACACGAAAGGCTGAAAATCAAACTGGAAGGTTACGGAATTCGGGGAAATGTCTTAGCGTGGATAGAAGATTTTCTACATGACCGCAAGCAGTGTGTGGTGATTAATGGTACGAAATCATCATCCGTACCTGGCACAAGCGGGGTACCACAGGGAAGTGTATTGGGCCTGCTGTTGTTTGTTTGTTTCATAATTGACATGCCTGACGTTGTACACTCCTCCATACAAATGTTTGCCGATGACGCCAAGTTATTTCGGGAAATCAAGAACCAAGCGGACTGTGAAGAGCTGCAGAAGGACCTCTGTGAGCTCCAAGAATGGTCGAAGAAATGGCTACTGAGATTCGATGTCACTAAGTGTAAGAAGATGCACCTGGGGCGTACCAACTGTAAGGAGGCGCATCATATGTCCCAACGTGATGAAGAAACTGCACTTTTTGAGACTGAATGTGAGAAGGACCTAGGTGTGTATGTTGACAATGAGCTGAAGTTCTCGGGCCATTGCGAGAAGAAAGTAAATGAGGCAAATAAATTATTGGGTCTTATAAGAAGGTAGTTCAGATATCTAGACGGTCCGTCCCTCGTAACGATCTTCAAGAGTGAAGTGCTTTCCCATCTGGAGTACTGTCACCCCGTCTGGTCCCCGAGATATGTAGGGACTGTCAGTTGGTTGAAAATGTTCAAAGGAGGGCCACCAGACTGGTGCCTGCACTTCGGCACCTCAGCTACCTTGAGAGCTTGGAGCGCCTGAACTTGCCTAGCTTATACTACAGACGGGCAAGGGGTGACCTTATTGAGGTGTATAAGCATCTCAAGGGACACTACTCAGTTGAGTGTCCTTACTTGGAGCTGGAGGACGCTCACCCCACAAGGGGTCACAGCTCAAGATTGAAGAAGCCGCAAGTCCAGAAAGCTATGAGGGCAAACTTTTTCGGAGTGAGAGTTGTGAACTCTTGGAACAGTCTACCAGAAAGTGTTGTGACGGCACCGAGTGTGAGCTCTTTCAAGACAAGACTTGACCAACACTGGAGCAGGTTCAGGTATATTCAGGAGCAGGTGCATGCCCAGTACTTGCCAACAGTGCGTAACAGAGACGTGACCGATCGCCCAAGCGGCTAGCGAGCCGATCAGCGGTGAAGAGGATAAAAGTAAAAAAAAAACAAAAAAACAATGAAATAGATAGAGTATGGTCGCGGGCCACCCTGAGACTCTACGGGCCAAAAATGGCCTGTGAGCCAAAGTTTCCCCACTTGCCTGAGGCACTGCGAGCGAATATAAATGACAACTAGAGTAACTTTAATAAATAGTGTATGATACCTAGGAGCCATTAATTATGTTTCCTCGTCACACTGGGACAAGTGATACGCCTTCTTACTGTTGGTACGACTTAAGTGCATCTATTTGCGTTTCGTGAAGTTTAATATTAACAGACATTTCTTTGACTACTCCTGAAGCTGACAGAAATAATCTTGTAGCGCTTCACAATCCATTTGGTTCTTAATTTCCCTGAATATCTTATCGTCCGCAAACATATGTATGAAGGAGTGTATAGCTTCTGGCATGTCATTTATGAAACAACTGCCCTGCGGTACTCACCTTGTCACAAGTACGCATGACGATTTCGTCTCATTAATCACCACACACTGCTTGCTGTCTTGAAGACTGTCTCTGAGCCACGTTAGGACGCTCCCTCGAGTGCCGTACCTTTCCAGTTTAATTTTCAGCCTTTCACGGGATACGCTGTCTAAAGCCTCGGCAAAGTCGAACTATAATTATAAAATCGATATTGCTACCACGCTCACTAGGAGGTATGTAGTGTTTCGGTCCCGGAATTCATTCCATAATTATTTATTCTATAATAATATTGTGTTTTTTTTTTATCGTTGAGTTGTTATTGGACGTAAGTTCGGTGATGGAATTCGGGAGGTCATTGTTTCGTGTAAAGGGAGCAGGGATAAACCAATGAGTCGAGCATTATGGTTCGAGTCATCGTTGAGAATGTAGGCGACCTACCCTGTCCACGAGGCTCAAAACCAGCTGTTTTATTGGGATTTAAGATAAATGTAAGTTAGACTCAGAACCATACGAGCATGGCAGCGGTTAACACTCCTTGGTCTCTCAAATTGCATTATAGAATGTGATATGGAGTAGAATACCAGTGTGCAAACGCCAGAGTACCAGTTGATGACAAGGGCAAGACCGTTCAATGTAATGAAGGTGACGGGGACCGGCAGGTGTTAACTTTGGAGAATCGATCTGGTTGTTGTTGTTGTTATAATTTTATTACTGCGCTTCAACAACGAAGGTCTTTAAGCGCGTAGCAAGGTTAGTATTACACTAGTCCACCAATGGTAACAAATTATGAGAGGTAGAGCTGTGTCTAAAAATTTGGTAAATTCTATGATGTGTAGAGGAGCGACGCACCAGAGGATAGTGTGTTGTTAAGGTCTGGACCGTTTTGTGTGTTGAAAGAAGCTGGGACCAGCAAGTGATAACTTTAAGGAGGCGAACTTGTGGGAAGGTTCTCTTGATAGTTAATGAAATATTTGTAATTTGGTGCAGGGTGAAAGAACTACAGTGTGTTGGTGAGGTGAATCCTACGGGAGCTCAGTAATATTGTATTTTTTCTATGTCTTAGACTGTTATTTAACTTATAATTTTGATCATCTTAATGTGTGAGTGACCTTCCTATTCCGCTTGTCCTGCCATCTTCCAGTGTTTCAAGGAATGGATGTCACTTGGGAATGGGGGTTATCTCTTAACTCATCCCTAACCCAAGGAGATAAAGCAGCTGAGCTTTTGTGACGTAACAGTAGTCCCCGACTTGGCCTGAGTCTCTATTTGTGATGTTTTGTTCTTCAAGACTCTTCCAACCCTGCTATGTAGTCCAGGGCTACTGATGCTACAAGAGCCTCAACCACTGCCAGTTGTTTACTGTCTAGTCCACAGAAACTTATTGACAGTGCTGCTACAGCTCTATCATCGTTGCTACATAGTCTCGGGAATGTATCAGAGTTGTAACAAAGTTATTAAATAGCTTTTGGCTGTTATAGAAGCTGATACGTAACCCCGGAAATGCTATATCGCACTTGTCTACTACTGTACCAAGGCTATTACATAGCCCCAGGGAAGTGTTAGGACTACTTGGGCTATCACGTAGCCCTGAGGCAGTGTTAATGCTTCTAGATATCGGAGTAATGTCAGGATCATTATATAGTCAGGTGTTTCAGGGTTATTGATAATTCCGGAGCAAAATTAGGAATACTACAATTTCTTCGAGTAGCGTCACGACTACTACCTAAACTTAAGGAAGTATCAGGCTACTAGATAGTTCCGTGGTAGAGTCAGCACTACTAGATAACTTAAGGGGCTGTCTCGGGATTACTAAATAGCCTCGGGGTAGTGTTAGAACTACAACATAGCCCGGAGATAGTGTCATATCTATTACATTGTGCCGAGGAGCTGAATAACTAACCTTGAGTGGTGAGACAGGCAAGGCAGCCAGCGTGAGGACGGCCACCACCGCTATCACACATACTCTCACTCCCCGAGTCATCTCTGCTGCTGGTGCTGGGAGAGTTACCACAGGTGGGGAGTGTGTCTGTGGCTAACTCTTATACCACTGCCTCCCCACCCCCATGGCACTGTTACAATATCAACCCCCCCGCTCCCCTTCCCTTCCCCCCTCCCTTCCCAGACTCGGAGCTCGGCACATATTCCAATACGTTCTTCCACTGCTATCCTCCAACATGTTGTACAGTGAGTCATGTCTATACATTAATACACATAAGACACGCTCCATCCACCATGTATAGGTGTCAGGCCACCATAAGTAATGTGAGGAGGGTAAGACTCGCTGGTGACATGAAGCTTGACAGAGATCATTGAGGTTATCTAATACTGTATAGATATGTCGAACTCTTCCAGGTGAAGTTAAATTACGAAGATCAGGATAAAAATTTTAGATAAAATTGGTGGATTTTAGGACTGGGTGGAGTTACGGGATTAGTAGAACAGCTATTAATTATACTGTATGTAGCCAATAGTCATATATCTAACTCTTGAAGAAATGACCTGGTGCAGAGTTTTTACTGGTGAGAGAGCGAGGAGTATTATTGTGTTACTTAAAATAAAAAGGTTTATACTCTGAACAAAATTATTTCAATTATTGGTTTGAACTTAATACTGTTCAGGAGAGTAAGTATAAAACATTCATGAAAATTTAGCGAACTTACATGAAGATTTCAGCGCCAAAATTGGAAAAGGATAATATGGTGATTCAAGTATGGCAAAGTACACAGTATAAAGTATTGTAGGTGGCTGAAGTGAGAGAAGTAAGTTACACGTCTGCTGAGTTTACAGACCAATACAGTTTGTCACACACTCAAACAAAAAGTTAACTTGGGGTAGTCTGAGATACAATTGCATTATGAACCTCTGATTTAGTTCTGGGTTTCCCTCAAGTTTAACTCGTAGTAAAAAAAAAGTCTTTATTTGATTTAGAAGTTCCGAAAAAAATCAGTTTTAAATCGAACAAAGTTATGGATTAACACAACCAGAAACACAAGTGAAAAATTAAACGAAGTAAATGAAACATAAAATTATTTGTATTAAGGTGAACATTCCGAAAGTCCATCTAGATTTGAATGAGTACCTTACTGTACAGTCTCCTATATCGAAGGCTTATACGTATTAAGTGACAACATCAAGAGTAGTCATTGGATTTGTCAACAATAAGTATAAATCAACTTACAGGAAAAAATCTGTCGATGTTACTGAAGTGGTAAATGGAGACTGTTTCAGAATTATCACGAAGAACCAATACAAAAATTAAAAGGAAGAATAGCTTCGTGAATGTGATTTGAGAAAGACAAAAGTAATAAAATTGTCAAACAGACGTATTTGTGTGTCACCTGTGTGAAGGCAGCATTAATTACGCCTCCAGCACCACTACCTTACCTGCCTACAACGACCACCTGTGTACTGAACAAAATTTATATACTTTACATCTCTTCAGTTAATACAAACCTCTAATCTTTCGTCCTGCAATGTCTTTTTCTATTAATTGGTCTCGATGTTGATGGTCTCACTCAACAATTTTTTGCGAAGCTGAATATCCTAAAGTGGGAGTCGTGCACAGAATCATTGAAGGTCACCTGCAGAATATACTCGCCCACCTGTACAGGACACAGTCATTCATTCTCAGGTATCGGCATCCAGCAGACGTTAAGATTATATCTGTTGGAACATGAAAAATATCTCCCCTTAATTGTCGAGAAGTGGAGAACGTCAGCAACAGCCAAGTGACATCATATTGGCGTCAGTGTACTGCACAAGTTACTTATATTACAGTTCACGATTTAAAAAAAAAAGCTCAAATTTAGAAACATCGAATTCTATATAAAAGACAAATAAATAGGCTTACTCTGTTTTAATGTATTTTATTCATTTTTTTCTTATTCTAATTATACAATATTTTGTAATTAACGAGGTTACAGACAGACTAGTAAAATATACCAGTAATATCCAAATTCTTATGTCTCTCTCTCTACACTACAATTACCAAAGGGCATCAGAAAGTAACGCTAAAATGTTAAAGAATTACAATGAAACACCCAAAATATAGTAACACAAAGTAAAACAGAAAATATCATGACACACAAACAATGAACGCAGCAATCTTTTTAATTTCAATAATTTCAATAATATTCATATTTTTTCATTAGTGTCAGAATCATTTACACTCAGCTACTGCATGTCAGTAAGTCACAACTCACCGGATATTCTTATAAACAATGTATTATTAGTAGGTGAACACACTCGGGTCTCACACACCCCGGCAAGCTGGGTGACGATACTGCATGCGTCACACAATACCATCCTCGGGAAAGACTGTAACTTGTGTCCGGAAACTGTGGCTGTTGTCACTAGCACCACAACAGCCAGCCGTCACCACCTCACTGTATACTGGGGAGGGTAATGTTGAACTGGGGAGGGTAATGTTGAACTGGGGAGGGTAATGTTGAACTGGGGAGGGTAAAGTTGAACTGGGGAGGGTAATGTTGAACTGGGGAGGGTAATGTTGAACTGGGGAGGGTAAAGTTGAACCGGGGAGGGTAAAGTTGAGCTGGGGAGGGAAATGTTGAACTGGGGAGGTAAAGGAACAGGGGAGGGCAAAGGAGCTGAGAGGGTAATGTTGAACTGGGGGGGATGGAACTGGGGAGGCAAAGTTGCGTTGAACTGGGAGGGTAAAGTTGGAGCTGGGAGGAAATATTGAACTGGGGAGGGTAAAGCTGAACTGGGGAGGGTAATGTTGAACTGGGGAGGTAAAGTTGAACTGAGAGGTAATGTTGAACTGGGGAGGTAATGTTGAACTAAGAACTGTAAAGTTGAGCTGGAGAGGGATGTTAACTGGGGAGGAACAGTTCAACTGGAGAGGGTAATGATGAACTGGGAGGGTAAAGTTGAAGTGGGAGGGTAAAGTTGAACTGGGAGGATGTTGAACTGGGGAGGGTAAGTTGAACTGGGGGAGGGTAAAGTTGAACTGGGAGAGGGTAAGCGAACTGGGTTGAACTGGGAGGTAAAGTTGAACTGGGGAGGGTAATGTTGAACTGGGGAGGGGTTGGAACTGGGAGGTAATGTTGAACTGGGGAGGTAAAGTTGAACTGGAGAGGGAAATTGGGAACTAAAGTTGAACTGGGAGAGGTAAAGTTGAACTGGGGAGGGTAATGTTTGAACTGGGAGGGCACTGGGAGGGTTGAACAGAACTGGGGAGGTAATGTTGAACTGGGGAGGGTTAATTGAACTGGGAGGATGTTGGAGAGGATAATGTTGAATAGGGAGGGTATTGTTGAACTGGGAGGGTAATGTTGAACTGGAGAGGATAATGAATAGGGAGGGTGTTGAACTGGGGAGGGAGGAACTGGGAAGGATAATGTTGAATTGGGGAGGATGGTGTTGAACTGGGGAGGTAATGTTGAACTGGGAAGGTAGTGTAGTACTGGGGAAGGTAATGTTGAACTGGGGAGTTTGATGTTGTACTGGGAGGGTAATGTTGAACTGTGGAGGTGAAGTTGAGCTGGAAAGAATAATGTTGAACTGGGGAGGGTAATGTTGAACTGGGGAGGATGGCGTTGTACTGGGGAGGATGGTGTTGTACTGGGGAGGATGGTATTGTACTGGGGAGGATCGTGTTGTACTGGGGAGTATAGTGTTGTATACTGAGGAGTATAATGTTGTACTGGGGAGGATAGTGTTGTACTGGGGAGGATGGTGTTGTCCTGGGGACGGTTATGTAGAACTGGGAAGGGTACTGCTGAACTGGGTAGGGAAATGTTGAACTGGGGAGGATAATGTTCAACTGGGGAGGATGGCGTTGTACTGGGGAGGATGGTGTTGTACTAGGGAGTATGGTGTTGTACTGGGGAGTATAGTGTTGTACAGGGGAGGATGGTATTGTACTGGGGAGTACTGGGGAGGATGGTATTGTACTTGGGAGGATCGTGTTGTACTGGGGAGTATAGTGTTGTACTGGGGAGGATGGTGTTGTACTGGGGAGGATAGTGTTGTATACTGAGAAGTATAATGTTGTACTGGGGAATATAGTGATGTGCTGGGGAGGAGGATGTTGTACTGGAGAGGATGGTGTTCTACTGGGGAGGATGGTGTTGTACTGGGGAGTATAGTGTTGTGCTGGGGAGGATGGTATTGTACTGGGGAGTATTGTGTTGTACTGGGGAGGATGGTATTGTACTGGGGAGTATTGTGTTGTACTGGGGAGGATGGCATTGTACGAGGGAGGATGGTGTTGTACTGGGGAGCATAATGTTGTACTAGGGAGTATAGTGATATACTGGGGAGAAGGATGTTGTACTGGAGAGGATGGTGGTGTGTACTGGGGAGGATGGTGTTGTACTGAGGAGTATAGTGTTGTACTGGGAGTATGGAGCTTGTACTGGGGAGGAGGACTCTTTACTGGAGTATAATGTTGTACTGGGAGGATGGTGTTGTACTGCAGAGGATGGTGTTGTACTGGGGAGGATGTTGTTGGGGAGGATGGTGTTGTACTGGGGAGGATAGTGTTGTATTGGGGAGGATGGTGTTGAACTGGGGAGGATGGTGTTGTACTGGGGAATATAGTTGTTGTACTGGGCAGGATGTTGTACTGGGGAGGATGGTGTTGTACTGGGCAGGATGTTGTACTGGGGAGGATGGTGTTGTACTGGGGAGTATGTGTTTACTGGGGAGTATGGTGTTGTATTGGGGAGGATGGTGTTGTACTGGGAGGATGGTGTTGTACTGGGGAGGATGGTGTTGTACTAGGGGTATAGTGTTGTACTGGAGGATGGTGTGCTGGGAGGATGGTGTTGTACTGGAGAGGGTGATGTTTTACTGGGGAGTATAGTGTTGTACTGGGGAGGATGGTGTTGTACTGGGAGTGTAGTGTTGTACTGGGAGTACAGTGTTGTACTGGGAAGGATGGTGTTGTACTGAGGTACTGTACACTATTTGTACTGGGAGGAGATGGTGTACTGGGGTATAGTATTGTACTGGGGAGTACTGTGTTGTACTAGGGA